AAGAATAAGAATAATAAGAATAAAAAATTAAAACTAAAGTAGTTGAAATAGCACAATAGGTCATCCAGGTAGGAACTTTGTTCATTTTTACATCGTCAAGCCGACTGCTTTTAACCGACGCACGCGAGCTTGCCGGATGTTTATGGAACCACATGTTGTTACCCGGTTATAAAAGCACATTTCTGTGGCTGTAGTTTGTGGAAAGTAGAAGAAAACATTTGTAGCTTGAATCAGGATGTCGGCTTCGTTGATCAGGAGAGGACTGGAGCTGCTGAGCAATGACATTAAAGGTCAGTTTAGCCTCTTGAGCTTGCTATGCCAGTTGGCTAACAGTATTGGATATTAGCGCTCTCGCTATTATAATTCTGACCACAACTTGTGACTGATCTCTGTTTTTTATACATTGTTATAGTTAGGCCGTAATAGAGGGGGTTTACAATGTTGCTTTAAGGTCTAAAATTGATTACTTGAATATTATTTTTGGAGGTTTTCATGTTGTCGTCATTAAACCATAGCAACGTAGAGCCCGAAGAAGACGTATTTGAATAACGGTACTATGCTTAACCTCAACCTACCTACATAACATTCCTGTGAGGAAAGCAATTCCTCATCCGGGTGAGCGGGTACTTGGTCTCAGCACAGCTGATGTCAGGAGGACCCTGAGAAGAACTGACGTACCCAAGCAGCGCCTCGGGACTGGTGCTCAAGGAATGTGCTGACCAGCTGGGTCATGTCCTCACAGACCTCTTCAATACCTTACTGAACCATGCAGTTGTACCATCATTCTTCAAAAATTTTACCATCATACTAGTTCCTAAAAACAGTCCACAGTGCCATGTCTTAATGATTATCACCTTTAGGACTCACAATGTGCATTTCAGTTCCGCATTCAACACAAATCATCTCCCAGCATGAAAGCATGCGGCAAGTGGAGACAATTGTTGGGGACTGGTGTACCACAAACAGCACTGTCTTACATACACAGCTTCTCATCAGTAACATTGTGGAGGAGGTGGACAGCAGCACTAAGTTTCTAGCTTTGTAGTTCTCTTGTAATGGGAGCACAGCAATGTCTGCACTTCCTGTCTCAGATGAAGAGTGTGTATTTGGAGCAGAAGAGCCAGATTCTCCAACAGTTTTTTTCTCATAGCCACCAGGCTTCTAAATTCAAATTTTTTTAATACCCCTCCCATACACACACACACACACACACACACACACACACACAGACAGAGTGGACCACACTTGGACTGATCTCCCTGCTGCTGTGATACTCCATCGCTATCTATAAGTGTAATACACTGGTAACTTAACAATACTGCTGTCTTTTATACAGTATATTTTTATGCATTTTACATTAATTTTTTTATAGCTTTGTTTGTTACTACAATTTTTATTAATGTTGTGAGCCAGTGCAATGCGATTCCATTCAGATATGCTATGATTAGTGTATAGCTTTTGAATGACAATAAGATCGATTCACACTCTTAAAAGAACATGTTTCCTTGTCTGCAGCTTACTTTGGGTTTTGTGCGTGTCTTTTTGCCATGTGTTTCCTGCCAGATGTCACTAAAGTGAAGAAGAAGCAGCAGCAGACCCCCAGCTCAGCCACAGTGATGGAGCTGGTGAGCACCAAGCGGCAGGGAGTTACTAAGCAGGTCAAAAGACTGCAAGGCCGTCTCGGGCCTGGCAAGAGCAAAGCCACTGTTAAAGACAAGAGGATCAAGTCTGCAGTGGGTCAGTCTGCTTGCTGTATTTCAGTCTTCTTCATGCTTAGAATAAAAGACATCTGTGAAAAAGTAAAAACAATGGGTACAGAGGCTTTTGCGTTTTTTATGTAAGGACCAGTAGGTGGCAGCATTGGTCTTAAACTCAGTTGTAAAATGTACAGCCTTTCACTGAAAAAGAACTTAAACCTGAATAATTGTTCTGTTACTCTTTTACAGTCTAGTTGATGTTGTTCTAAATTTCTTGTTCTTTGGTTTGAATTGCAGAGGAGTTCAGGAAGAAGCAGGGGAAGAGCCATTTGAGTGAGAACCTCAAATACTTTATGGCAACTGGCTGTAAAGCAACAGATTCTGACACA